GTGGCGACCTGTCTAAGGGGACGAGAATTCTGAATTCAAAACTGACTTGAGGATCAATGCGCTCTCCCAGGCTATATGACCCTAGGCATACCACTTCAGCTATAGCTGCAGTATATGTGATGTCCTTCCCACCCTATTTGATTACATGACGTAATGCAGGGGGTCGGCAACTCATTCGACCCCGCGGGCCGGATCGTGTTATAATGACGAGTCGCGGCCCGGACGAAAGCAATTAATGAAAAATTAAGGAAAATTACATATGCACCTAAATATTTAAAACCATAATGAAAATAAACATTGAGAAATTAGAAAAAACAAAAGAAAATCTAAAATTAAAAAAAAAACACCTAACAAAAATTACTTTTCCTCAAGGAACGTCAAAATACTTCAAAGTGAAAAAAATCAACCGAAGTGAAATGGATGAAATTATGACGTGTAGGTTTGAAACTGTTATTGAAAATTGTTCCACAAACGAACCACACACACACATCAAACAAAAACGAAGCACATATACCCATACATACGAGTACAAATAGTTGCAAACATATACACCTACGTACGTACACATGCGGTATCATCCACACATTCATGAGGCATGTATGTATAATGCGCGTATGTTTAACTGTCTTTAGATTTCTGCTACCTCGCATGTCAGTCCCTCCTTGGCCTCATTCACTTTATCGTTTCTTTCGCTTCTGTTATCTTTTAATGTAGTCAAGGGTCATAACAAATATGTATCCATTATTTGACATTTAAACGTAGGCAACGCAACTTGGTAAAATAAGTCTCATGAAAGATAACTGGTAGATAGTCTAATATTTTTAGTGCACTGAGATGTGTAGACATTCTATGGAAAATGACATATAACAAATTTCATCTGAAGGTCGTCTCTCATGTTAAAAATAGAGTCATTGTTAATCAGTCTCGCGGGCCGGTCAAAATACCTTCCGTGGGCCGTAGATTGCAGACCCTTGATGAATCTGTCTACCCACCCAACATAGCGCACGATTTAAAGTCGCATTTTCACACTATGTTAGTCACATGGGGTGTTTTCTTACCCCTTACATTTTTAAAGTACACATAATTCCTAGTTGGAAACTTGTCTTTTTTTTTTGCCCCCTCGCTTTACTTCCCTGAAAAAGTGAGGGCGTGTATCACGCGATGTGGCAGGATTATATCTCAGTTGTCGTCGAAGGTAGACAGCAGGAGACTATCGATTTTCGTAATCCGAGCTGACTACCGCAAATTTAAAGTGAGTAAGCTAAAAGCGGCCAGGTTTGTCCGCTACTACTGTAGACATCAAGGTGTAACCTAAGCGTAAACTCTCTCCATGCTTTTGGGCAATGTTGTCCTCTCACAAAACATGGAATACATATTTTTGATAAGCTCGTCTGAAACAAAGATATGCAAAATCCCAGGTAGTAACAGTCAATTTCAGGGGACGTTCACTAAGATTAATAGTTTAAATAACATTTGTTATTCCCAGGAAAAGATTTCATTGTGATCGTGAATTTTAAACAATTTCCAATACTCAAATGCTTACAGTATTTTATTATGATAATGAATTACTTCTGTTGACATTTTTTCATAGATATTGAAATTTTAATCGCTCCTTTCATCGACCGGTTTGCCTTTTCTAAATCCGTGCACGCGTGTTTAAAAGGCTTCTTAATGCATGAAGGCAATTAGAGTTCACTACCCTGAACACAAAATGGCGTCGGACGTTGACAGCTGTGAAAAATCTCCATGTCATCACGAGTCCGACTTCGTTGTCGATCTGTTGTGAACGACCCAGTTAATTGCAGACTGGCTTAAAGGTATCCATTTAAAGATTAGCAGATTTCCAATGGAAGATTAGAGGAGGATTAAAAGGGTTTATCTAAGATTAAAATTGTTGTTGCATATTTAATAGCATTTTTTTTCAATATTGGATTTTGTTTAGATTATCCAGTTGTGTTGTGTACGGAATTTTTTTTTTTTTTTCGCTTTTAATGTTTTTATTTTCCTTTCATTTCTTTCTACTTTCTACGACTTTTTTTTAATCTAACAAATAAAATATCTTTATAAATCACTGATAGATTTGTTACGAGGACATTGCAAAATTTAACAGAATATAAATTGCTTCAGTTTATTGAATTGTTTATTGTGATATTAAAAAAATCGGTCGCTAATATAAAACTCTATACAACTTACACGTTAATTAAAAGGTTTTGACAATAATCCTTAGGCTTGGCCCATTAAAGCTTTTACCAATAAAATCTATAGCAGTAATTTTAATATTTACTAGTAAAAGATTTTACCAATGATTAAAAGGTTTTACCGGTAATTAAAAGATTATACCAGTAAAGGTTTTACCAGTAATGTAGCAAGTAAATTAAATCTAGATATCACATAAGTTAAATAAAAGTTTGAAAAAATTAGGAAAAATAAAAACATGCTTTGTTTTCTGTTTCAAAGCAAACTTATAGGATCATCGTCATCATTCGACAGTATTCGGGATTATCGGGGGTAGATTGTTCTAGCACTACGTGTCATGACTTTTTAGATATAACACTAGCAGTCAATTCGGTTAATTCGAAATTCCAAACTGAAGAAGTCCGGAGCGTACAACGACCGAAACGCTGTGACTATGGCAATAAAGATGAGAACAACAGTCTAAACAATGTAAATAGTTAAAATACCTTATCTCAGAAATATAGAGGGATCCTGAAGAAGGCCAGAGCATAATACGGCCGAAACGTCGAGAATATAGCAATAAAGATGAGAACAACAGTCTAAACAATGTAAATAGTTACAATACCTAATCTCAGAAATATAGACAGATCCTGAATAAAGCCCGAGCATAATACGGCCGAAACGTCGTGAATATGGCAATTATATGAGGACAAGAGTCTAAACAATGTAAATAGTTAAAATACCCTATCTCAGAAATATAGACAGACTCTGAAGAAGGTCGGGGCATACAACGGCTGAAACGTTGTGAATATGGAGATATATATTATATTATATCTATCTGTTATATTTTGCTCACATCTATCTTCTTTTAATTCTGTTCGTATCTATTTCATTCTATTTATATGTATCTTCTATTTAACTCTGTTCTTTATCTATCTCTCTCACTTTACTCACATTTATCTATCTCTCTATCTCTCTTTATCTCTCTTTCTATCTATCTATCTCACTTTGCTCACATTTATCTCTCTATCTCTCTTTATCTCTCTTTCTATCTATCTCTTTCACTTTACTCACATTTATCTATCTCTCTATCTCTCTTTATCTCTCTTTCTATCTATCTCTTTCACTTTGACTCACATTTATCTATCTTTCTATTTCTCTTTATCTCTCTTTCTATCTATCTCTTTCATTTTGCTCACATTTATCTATCTCTCTATCTCTCTTTATCTCTCTTTCTATCTATCTCTTTCACTTTGCTCACATCTCTCTATCTCTCTTTATCTCTCTTTCTATCTATCTCTTTCACTTTGCTCACATTTATCTCTCTATCTCTCTTTATCTCTCTTTCTATCTATCTCTTTCACTTTACTCACATTTATCTATCTCTCTCTCTCTTTATCTCTTAAGTCTCTTTCTATCTATCTTTTCACTTTGCTCACTCCTTATCTATCTTTCTATATCTCTTTATCTATCTTTCTATCTATCTCTTTCACTTTACTCACATTTATCTATCTCCCTATCTCTCTTTATCTCTCTTTCTATCTCTTTCACTTTGCTCACATTTATCTATCTCTCTATCTCTCTTTATCTCTCTTTCTATCTATCTCTCTCACTTTGCTCACATTTATCTATCTCTCTATCTCTCTTTCTATCTATCTCTTTCATTTTGCTCACATTTATCTCTCTATCTCTCTTTATCTCTCTTTCTATCTATCTCTTTCACTTTACTCACATTTATCTATCTCTCTATCTCTCTTTATCTCTCTTTCTATCTATCTCTTTCACTTTGCTCACATTTATCTATCTTTCTATCTCTCTTTATCTCTCTTTCTATCTATCTCTTTCACTTTACTCACATTTATCTATCTCTCTATCTCTCTTTATCTCTCTTTCTATCTATCTCTTTCAATTTGCTCACATTTATCTATCTTTCTATCTCTCTTTATCTCTCTTTCTATCTATCTCTTTCATTTTGCTCACATTTATCTATCTCTCTATCTCTCTTTCTATCTATCTCTTTCACTTTGCTCACATTTATCTCTCTATCTCCCTTTATCTCTCTTTCTATCGATCTCTTTCACTTTACTCACATTTATCTATCTCTCTATCTCTCTTTATCTCTCTTTCTATCTATCTCTTTCACTTTACTCACATTTATCTATCTCTCTATCTTTCTTTATCTCTCTTTCTATCTATCTCTTTCTCTTTGCTCCTCCTTTATCTATCTTTCTATCTCTCTTTTATCTCTCTCTTCTATCTATCTCTTTCTCTTTACTCACATTTATCTATCTCCATATCTCTCTCTTTCCTCCTTTTCTATCTATCTCTTTCACTTTGCTCACATTTATCTATTTCTCTATCTCTCTTATCTCTCTTTCTCTATCTCTCTTTTGCTCCATTTCTCTATCTCTCTATCTCTCTTCCCTCTATCTCTTTCTCTTTCTCTTGCCCTTATCTCTCTATCTCTCTTTCTCTCTTTCCCTCTCTCTCTCTCTCTTTCCTCCTTCTCCCTCATTTATCTATCTCTCTCTCTCTCTTTATCTCTCTTTCTATCTATCTCTTTCACTTTGCTCACATTTATCTATCTCCTATCTCTCTTTATCTCTCTTTCTCATCTATCTCTTTCTCTTTTGCTAATATTTATCTATCTTTCTCTCTCTTTATCTCTCTTTCTATCTCTCTCTTTTCACTTTTACTCTCTTTATCTATCTCTCTTTATCTCTCTTTATCTCTCTTTCCCTCTATCTCTTTCACTTTGCCCATTTATCTATCTCTCTCTCTCTCTTTATCTCTCTTCTCTCTCTCTCTCTCCCTCCTTGCTCCACATGTCTCTATCTCTCTATCTCTCTTTCTCTCTATCCCTTTCACTTTGCTCACATTTCTCTCTATCTCCCTTTATCTCTCTTTCTATCTATCTCTTTCTCTCTCTCTCCCTCATTTCCCTATCTCTCTCTCTCTCTCTCTCTCTCTCTCTTTCCCCTATCTCTCTTTCTCTTTGCTCTCATCTCACTATCTCTCTTTATCCTCTCTTTCCCTATCTCTCTTTTTCTTTCTCTCTTTCTCTCTCTCTCCCTCTTTCCCTATCTCTCTTTCTCTCTTTCTCTTTCTTTCTCCATTTATCTATCTTTCTATCTCTCTTTCTCTCTATCTCTCTTTTCCTCTCACTTTATCTATCTCTCTATCTCTCTTTATCTCTCTCTCTCTATCCCTCTCTCTTTCCTTTGCTCACATCTCTCTATCTCTCTTTATCTCTCTCTCCTCTATCTCTCTTTCCTTTACCTTTTATCTATCTCTCTATCTCTCTTTTTCTCTCTTTCCTCCTCTCTCTTTCTCTTTGCCCTCCTTATCTATCTTTCTCTCTCTCTTTATCTCTCTCTCCCTCTATCTCTTTCCCTTACTCTCTTTATCTCTTTCCCTCCTCTCTTTATCTCTGTTTCTCCTATCTCTTTCTCTCTCTTTATCTATCTTTCCCTATCTCTCTTTCTATCTCTCTTTCTCTTGCTCTCTCTTATCTCTCCTTTCTCTTCTCTCTTTCTTATATCCTTTCACTTTTCTCTCTCTATCTCTCTCTTGCCCTCTCTCTTTCTATCTATCTCTTTCTCTTTGCTCACATCTCTCTCTCTCTCTCTTTATCTCTTTCCATCTATCTCTTTCTTTTGCTCACATCTCTCTCTCTCTTTATCTCTCTTTCTCTATCTCTCTCTTTCCCTCATCTCTCTATCTCTCTATCTCTCTTTCTCTCTTTCCCTCTCTCTCTTTCTCTTTGCTCTTTATCTCTCTCTCTCTCTCTTTTGCTCTCTTTCTCTCTATCTCTTTCCCTCTTTGCTCTCTCTTTCTCTATCTCTCTCTCTCTTTCCTCTCTCTTTCTCTTTGCTCTCTTTCTCTTCTCTCTTTATCTCTCTCTCTCTTTTTTCTCTTTACTCTCTCTCTTTCTTTCTCTATCTCTCTATCTCCTTTATCTCTCTTTTCTCTCTCTCTCTCTTTTGCTCACATTTATCTATCTCTCTTGCCCTCCTTTCTCTCTCTTTCTCTATCTCCCATTTCTCTATCTCTCTCTCCCTCCTCTCTCTCTCTCTCTTTCCCTCCTTTCTCTTTCTCTCTTCTCTCTCTTTTTCTCTCTTCTCTCTCTCTCTCTTTCTCTTTGCTCTCTTTATCTCTCTCTCTCTTTATCTCTCTTTCCTTCTCTCTCTTCTCTTTGCCCTCTCTCTCTCTTTATCTCTCTTTTCCTCTATCTCTCTTCTCTCTTGCTCTCCCTTATCTCTCTCTCTCTTTTATCTCTCTCTTCTCTCTATCTCTTTAACTTTTCATCTCTCTTGCCCTCTCTCTCTTTTATCTCTCTTTCTATCTATCTCTTTCATTTGCTCACATTTCTCTCTCTCTCTCTCTCTATCTCTCTCTTTCTATCTCTCTCTCTCTCTTTGCTCCCTTCCTCTCTATCTTTCTATCTCTTTTTATCTCTTTTCCTCTATCTCTTTCATTTTGCCCTCCTTTCTCTCTATCTCTCTCTTTATCTCTCTTTCTATCTATCTCTCTCTCTTTGCTCACATTTATCTATCTCTCTGCTCTCTCTTTATCTCTCTTTCTATCTATCTCTTTCTCTTTGCTCACATTTATCTATCTCTATCTCTCTTTATCTCTCTTCTTTTCTCTTTCTCTTTTCTCACATTTATATCTCTCTATCTCTCTTATCTCTCTTTATCTCTCTTTCTATCTATCTCTTTCATTTTTGCTTTATCTATCTCTCTATCTCTCTTTATCTCTCTTTCCTCTCTCTCTCTCTCTTTGCTCCCATTTCTCTATCTCTCTTTATCTCTCTTTCTTTATCTCTTTCTTTTGCTCTTTATCTATCTCTCTCTCTCTTTCTCTCTCTCTCTCTCTCTCTCTTTGCTCATTTCTCTCTCTCTCTCTATCTCTCTTTTCTCTCTTTGTCTATCTCTCTCACTTGCTCTCTCTTTATCTATCTCTCTATCTCTCTTTATCTCTCTTTCTCTCTATCTCTCTCTCTTTGCCTCTCTTTCTCTCTCTCTATCTCTCTTTATCCTATCTCTCTCTCTTTGCCCTCCTTTCTCTTCTCTCTCTCTCCTTCTCTTTCTCTCTCTTTCTATCTCTCTCTTTCATTTCCCTCTCTCTCTTATCCTCCTCTCTCTCTCTCTATCTCTCTTTTTCTATCTCTCTCTCTTTGCTCACTTTATTTATCTCTCTCTCTCTCTCTTTATCTCTTTCTATCTCTCTTTTGCCCTTTGCTCACATTTATCTTCTCTCTATCTCTCTTTATCTCTCTTTCTATCTCCCTCTTTCACTTTGCTCTTGCCCTATCTATCTCTATCTCTCTTTATCTCTCTCTTTCTATCTCTCTCTTTCTTTTGCTCTCATTTATCTCTCTCTCTCTCTCTCTTTCTCTCTCTCTCCTTTCTATCTCTTTCAATTTGCTCTCTTATCTATCTCTCTTGCTCTTTCCCTCTCTCTTTCTATCTATCTCTTTCTCTTTGCCTCACATTTATCTATCTCTCTTTATCTCTCTTTCTATCTATCTCTTTTCCTTTCTCCATTCTCTCTTGCCCTCTCTCTCTTTATCTCTCTTTCTATCTATCTCTTTCTCTTTGCTCACTTTTATCTATCTCTCTTGCTCTCTTTATCTCTCTTTCTCTATCTCCTTCATTTTGCTCTTTATCTCTCTCTCTCCTCTTTCTCTATCTCTCTCCCTTTGCTCTTTATCTATCTCTCTCTCTCTTTATCTCTCTCTCTATCCTCCTCTTTCCTTTCTCTCTTGCCCTCCTCTCTCTATCTCTCTTTATCTCTCCTTTCTCTATCTCTCTCTTTTGCTCACATTTATCTCTCTCTCTCTCTTTCCCTCTATCTCTTTCATTCTGCTCTCATTTATCTATCTCCCTATCTCTCTTTATCTCTCTTTCTCTCTATCTCTCTCACTTTGCTCTTTTTTATCTATCTCTCTATCTCTCTTTATCTCTCTTTCTATCTATCTCTTTCCTTTCTCTTTATCTATCTCTCTTTATCTCTTTTCTCTCTTTCTCTCTATCTCTATCTCTTTGCTCTCTTTTATCTCTCTCTCCCTCTCTCTCTCTCTCTCTTTCTCCTCTATCTCTCTCTCTTTGCTCCTTTCTCTATCTCTCTTTCTCTCTTTATCTCTCTTTCTATCTATCTCTTTCACTTTTGCCCACATTTATCTATCTCTCTCTTATCTCTCTATCTCTGTTTCTCTCTATCTATCTCTTTCTCTTTGCCTCACATTTATCTCTCTCTCTCTCCTTTTCTCCCTCTCTCTTTCTCTCTCTCTCTCTTTGCTCACATCTATCTATCTCTCTATCTCTCTTTATCTCTCTTTCTCTATCTCTTTCACTTTGCTCACATTTATCTATCTCTCCCTCTCTCTTTATCTCTCTTTCCTCTATCTCTTTCACTTTGCTCACATTTATCTATCTCTCTTTATCTCTTTATCTCTCTTTATCTATCTATCTCTCTCTCCCTCCTCACATTTATCTCTCTCTATCTCTCTTTATCTCTCTTTCTATCTATCTCTCTCTTTTGCTTTGCTCTCATTTCTCTCTCTCTTTATCTCTTTATCTCTCTTTCTATCTATCTATCTCTTTCACTTTGCTCACATTTATCTATCTCTCTATCTCTCTTTATCTCTCTTTCTATCTATCTCTTTCACTTTGCTCACATTTATCTATCTCTCTTTATCTCTTTATCTCTCTTTCTATCTATCTATCTCTTTCACTTTGCTCACATTTATCTATCTCTCTATCTCTCTTTATCTCTCTTTCTATCTATCTCTCTCACTTTGCTCACATTTATCTATCTCTCTATCTCTCTTTATCTCTCTTTCTATCTATCTCTTTCACTTTGCTCACATTTATCTATCTCTCTTTATCTCTTTATCTCTCTTTCTATCTATCTCTTTCATTTTGCTCACATTTATCTATCTCTCTATCTCTCTTTATCTCTCTTTCTATCTATCTCTCTCACTTTGCTCACATTTATCTATCTCTCTATCTCTCTTTATCTCTCTTTCTATCTATCTCTCTCACTTTGCTCACATTTATCTATCTCTCTATCTCTCTTTATCTATCTTTCTATCTATCTCTTTCACTTTGCTCACATTTATCTATCTCTCTTTATCTCTTTATATCTCTTTCTATCTATCTCTTTCACTTTGCTCACATTTATCTATCTCTCTATCTCTCTTTATCTCTCTTTCTATCTATCTCTTTCACTTTGCTCACATTTATCTATCTCTCTATCTCTCTTTATCTCTCTTTCTATCTATCTCTCTCACTTTGCTCACATTTATCTATCTCTCTATCTCTCTTCCCCTCTCTCTTTTCATCTATCTCTTTCACTTTGCTCACATTTATCTCTCTCTCTTTATCTCTTTTCTCTCTTTCTATCTATCTATCTCTTTCACTTTGCTCACATTTATCTATCTCTCTATCTATCTTTTTCTCTCTTTCTATCTATCTCTTTCACTTTGCTCACATTTATCTATCTCTCTATCTCTCTTTATCTCTCTTTCTATCTATCTCTTTCATTTTGCTCAGATTTATCTATCTCTCTATCTCTCTTTATCTCTCTTTCTATCTATCTCTTTCACTTTGCTCTCATTTATCTATCTCTCTATCTCTCTTTATCTCTCTTTCTATCTATCTATCTCTTTCACTTTGCTCACATTTATCTATCTCTCTATCTCTCTTTATCTCTCTTTCTATCTATCTCTCTCACTTTGCTCACATTTATCTATCTCTCTATCTCTCTTTATCTCTCTTTCTATCTATCTCTCTCACTTTGCTCGCATTTATCTATCTCTCTATCTCTCTTTATCTCTCTTTCTATCTATCTCTTTCACTTTGCTCACATTTATCTATCTATCTTTCTATCTATCTATCGCTTTCATTTTGTTCATATCTATCTCATTCTCTTAATATGTATGTATCTATTATGAACGGCAGCAATGTTTTTGTTAGTTTTACAAATTGGTTAGTTTTATTATATTTAGTTATAAATTTAGTGTGGTACTTTTCTTTTGATCCAAGTCTTGACAAACGGGAAAGTAATTAAGATGTGGTTCTTTTTATTATTTTAAAATAATTGATTTAAATTGATATTTTAAGTTTACTTCCATAGCAGGAACATCTGCCTCTCTCGAAACGACCTTCCAATATTATCACTCACTACTGGAGTGACTTGCAACAACCTTGTTCATAACTGTTACCTTTATTCTTATTGTATTGGTTTTCACAATAAACCTTTACTTATTTTATCCACCTTGTTTTTCAAATATATATACCTATTAGCACAGAATATAACACCGTGATATATTTGGTATGATTTAGTGTTTGTTTCTAATTTCCCATATACGTTTAGAAAGTATTGTGCTGTTTGCATATTTACTATTTGTTAAGATGTTTTGTGTGCATAGTTTTTCTGTCCATCAGTTATACCTATGCATATTTTTTCTTTGTTACCTGCTGATTTTCAAGTGGCTTCCTATATTATATTGTTTTGAAAAGTGTGCATTGTATCATCAAAAATTCTCCATTTTAATTACTCAACTTAACAGTCAAATCTTTTTTTAAAAAAAATGTTACCAGCAATAAAAATCTTGTCGGTTTTAAATAACTGATGTAATGGAATAAGCTGTCACGAGCTGGGATCTGTTGAGTACAACTCAGACTTATGTGAGAACTACCAACCTTCCAATAGTAGCAATCACTACTGGATTGACTTACAACAACCTTGTGCATAACTGTTACCTTTATTCTTATTGTATTGGTTTTTTTTACAATAAACCTTTACTTATTTTATCCTCCTTGTTTTTTAAGTATATATTCCTATTAGAATGGAGTATTACAATAACTCATTGAGATTGATATGCCGTAAAACAAACCCAACCAAACTTTTTTATTTGCCAAGCGTAAGACAAGAGATTTTAAAAATACAGAGAACATATTGTTAAAAAAAAATTATATTTCTTAAATAACAATGAAATAAAAAAAATAATAGCAAAAAATAAAGATACCTTAAACGAAGAAATATATTTATATATGACTCGTTGTCGCTTCTCGGGCTAAAGTTTTCCGCTGACATGAAGTGGAGAGAATATATTGGATTTAATTGCTTGGTCTGCTGTAAGGAATATCGGTTTACGATTTCGCGCTAGACAATTGTTCACGGTAGCATCTATCTTTCACGTTTATGAGACTACTATTTGTTCGTGCTTCAAATATTCCTCCCAGATCAAGCCAGGTGCTTCTGCTATGTGTATAGGGATTCTTAACGGAAGCGGCCACGTTATCGTCCTGGCCTTTTAGTACACTGCAGCATGCAAGACCATTATTTACCTATTTATATGTCTACAATTAGTCCATGAATACAGCTGCCACATATAGTCAAGTGCTCCTACTTTGCATTTAGAGATCTAAAATAATCTGCAATATTACTGGTCCTGACCTGGCATCTTGAAATTAAAACATGCATGTGAGTGCAGAGAGCAATGACAAGAGCTTATAAAACAAGGAACATTTTTTAAAAAAAAGACGTCCTGGATAAGACAATAAACTACATCCAACAACAGGGCCTCTGATTAGGAAGTTTTGCAGGGCGTGGAACCACGTCTTCAT